TCCAAATGACATCACTGGCACAAGATGGCAGCATTCGTATCTGGAATATTTTGGCCTAATTTCTTGATAATGGGAGTAAGGGGAGAAGTGTCATCAGTCTCTTTACAGTCTGTAGGCACAACACAAAGCTGTGGGAAAATCAAAATGTAAATATGTCAAATCAATGTTTAACTATCGACAACATTTCTTGGCAGCCAACAACTCTCACACCTTTATTGAATATACAAACAAGACAAGATACATGTTGATTAGTAAATTGATGAAGTTGTTTTCTCTATATTTGCATATTTTCCTAATTTGCAGTACGTTGAGCACGCCGTAGAGTATATTTTGCCAACCCTACATGAATACTTATACTCTTATACTCCAGTACATATTTGAATGTAAAGCTTTTGTTCATTTTTTAATATTGGAGCACAGATTACTGTTACAGTGCTGCCACTTTATTAAAGTAAATGGAAAACCATTGCAAATGAGTCATTTCTGAAGCCTCTTGTTTCCCATCACTGTGTTTGGTTGCAGGTCTGTGTCGTTTGAGGGGGCCGTATGACACAACGTCTGATCTGGAGGAAATGCGGAGAGAAAAGGAGGAGGCGGACAAAGAGCCCAGGATCTTAATCTTCTCCTTGGTTGGTCTCCATAGAAGAAGGAGGCCATCTGAGATATATCATCACAACTCATTAAATATTTTACTTAAACTTACATAATGAAGAAAACTGCTGATCAGATTTTTAAATTTAAAATAAAAAAAATGTCTGTTTGAATCTGAGCTGCTTGACCACTGTCAGGTTAATAGTCCTTAGTGCAATGTAAGATTCCTTCTCAGGAAGGAAACAGATTAATGAGCAACCAATGTACACTGACAGTTAATGTTAAATCATTCATTAGATACTTTATATAGTAACTTGTTTGGTTTTAAATGGTAATTAATTAATGAGAAATACACTTTCTGTCACACCCTAAAAAAGATGCGGTTGTTTCTTTCAAGAACCTAAACAATTTCTGCACTCGAATCAAATATGTATTTCATGTGTAACTACAGACAATGAGCTAAAGCTATAAAAGAAACAAAAGCCTATGTGACGTTCAGAGACAACATTTTGCTGTTGTGCATTCCCTCGTAGATCCGCTCCTCCGTCTACAGACAGCAGCTGTTTGTTGCCCTCATGATGCATCTCTCTCAACAGCTGTCTGGCATCAACGCTGTGAGTAGCTAATTCCTTTCACCTCTTCCTCATTCATTTACTGATCATTTTCAATCACATTAAAGGAGACATGTTCTGCTCATATTCAGGTTCATACTTTAATTTTTTTTCTTTATATTATATTATATATATTATATTATATATATATATTAAATGTTATCCTTGTATTGTCTTCAAGATCTTTTATTACTCTACGGCCATCTTCGCTCAGGCTGGTGTCAGTCAGCCAGTCTATGCTACTATAGGAGTTGGGGTCATCAACACAGTCTTTACTATGGTGTCTGTGAGTAACTGAAGATACAAAACACAAAAACACACAAACGCATGTGGAGGTTATACATTTACATATGATGGTATTCTCTTATTTCATCTACACACCTACCCTTAACACATACATACAGAGATAGACATTGTACTCTGTCCCAGGTTGCACTGGTGGACCGGGCTGGTCGACGCAATCTGACGCTCATTGGTCTGGGAGGAATGTGCTGCTGCGCAATCACCATGACAGTGGGCCTCGCACTCCAGGTTTGTTCAACCAGGTGTCAGAGCTGTAACCTGAGCTGAGCCTCCATCCAATTATGGGGTTGCCCCTGCAATTTCAGTTTGTTAAGCAGTTGTGCTGTTTCTGAATGCCGCTTTTGCTGTAACATCGGAGAGGCAAGTATGTGAATGAATCGTATGTATGTTTTCAATATGAGAATTAAAGGTAGGTTTCACAAAAACAAATCTACTTATAGACCATATTCACAGGTCCATAAGTGATCAGCAACTGAAAAGACAATGGATAGTTAAAATATGGAGGATTATGAGTCCATGTATCCAGGTTAAACATATTTGACAGCTCATTAGTCATACCTCAGACAGCAGACATCAGCTTACATTAGCATTCAACCACTTCTTAGCCACATGGGCTGTTTTTACAAGGAAATATCACGGCACATCCTGGAGACATTTATTTCAAGGTTCAGTGTGTAGAATTTAGTGACATCTAGTGGTGAAGTTTCCTGTTGCAGCTGAATGCCCCTCACCTCCCCCTCTAAACATATGAGAGCACCTGTGGTATCCTTCAGTTGTCATACAAACTCAAAACCTGTTTGGTTAAAAAACATGGCCACCTCCGTAAAGAGGTAAATACGAAGTATTTGAATATAAAGGGCCCATTTTAGGTTAAAGAAAACAACAATTTGTACAATTTAGATGATTGTGTTTAATTTAGTTTAAGTGTTTAATAGCTTCTCAAAAAGCTACGGCCATTTTATGTCTCCCTTTAAAGTAGCAAGACTTAGCTTTACTGAATTACTCTTCCTTCCAGAATCAATTCATCTGGATGACCTACGTCAGCATGTCTGCCATCTTCCTCTTTGTGAGTTTCTTTGAAATTGGTCCTGGTCCGATTCCATGGTTCATAGTGGCTGAGCTGTTCAGTCAGGGACCTCGGCCTGCGGCCCTCGCTCTCGCTGGCTGCTGCAACTGGACCAGCAACTTCATCATAGGCATGACCTTCCCCTATATACAGGTAGGCAGAGGGGACACATACACAGAAATGAGCACCTGAATTTCTTTCCTTCAGACAAACTGTCCCACCTGAGACATCTTTTTACCTACTTATTTTTGTGTTTCAGGTTTGGCTGGGTTGCTACGTGTTTCTACTGTTTGCTGCGCTGCTTTTCTGTTTCACTGTGTTTACTTATCTCCGGGTCCCTGAGACCAAAGGGAAAACCTTCGAGGAGATTGCTGCTGTCTTCCACAAGGGACGAAAAATCCCACAGCAGATTCCTAGAGACCATTCTGAACTGCAGCAGCTCAAAACATCCACAGATGCCTAAATCAGTATTTCTTGTGTTTTTCTCTACAGTATTATCATGAGATCTATTAAAATTAGGTTGTTTACACAGGAGAAACTGACGAATTTTCATTACATTAATACAAGACCTACACAAAAGCAGTGTAATGAAAAATGTTTTACTGGTGTATGGAATGTTTAATCTCTTGTAGATGGGGTCACTCTTATTTTCACAGGATAAGCTACAGGATTTTAGTGTTTTGGGTAATTTCTACCAATGGAGTCCCGAGCATGAAGTAACATTCCCCTCTGTGTGTGTGTAGATATCACAGTGTCTCTGTTCTGTTGTCGTTTATGGTGTGCGTTTATGTAAATCACAACTTCTGACTCTATTAAATAATGTATTTTGTTCACTGTAACTTGAACGTTGAATCATTGACTGTCGGTATGTACTGTACATGTAAGTATGTGTGCATGAGTTGGAATGTGTTCACCTGCTGAAGGGGGAAGTTGACGTCCCATTAAATCTGAGTTCAAGTCTTTTATGTTTGATTAAGTCTTTTTGACATTAGAACTTCTTCAGAAGGATTTGTTTAGGCATTGGTTATGGAAGCTTAAAAACGTGCACAAACAAAGAACATTTTAAACATCCAGTGCATGTGTAGAATTCTGGCAGAAATCAAATCTAATATTTATAAACAAGCTTTCAACAGTTTAATATGAACTGAAGCTTAGAGCTGTTATGAATTAGCTCTTTTCATGTACATCTTGAGCAAGTCCTTTTCCACAGTCTGTCGTTGCACCAACATGTTCCTACGGTGGCCCAGAATGGAAAAACACTGTCTAAAGAAGGCCTTTCCCATGTTTATGTTATCTGAAGGACCATCAGTTCTTCCCCTATGACTCTCTCACATTCTTTGAAGGAGAGGGGAGAGTTATTCAGTTACTTCACCACTAGGAGTCAACAGTTAAACTCACAAAACAACAGATATTTCAGTAGATTCTGGAAATGCAATGAATTAAAGCAGTTGACGTAATTTTAAATGAGATAACTTAAATTTTGGGGGGAAATAAAACGTATAAAATTACTATTAATAAATTACAATTTTGGAGTGGAATTTTAAGGAATAAAATATACATGTGTTTTTATCCATTCAATTCTTAGAATATCCACATTTCTTCATAGCAGCTGAGTTTTAAAGACCAAATGATGGAAGTTTCAGACTTGTCTCTTTACCCTAGGAGGCAGCCCCTCCTCCACAGCCCACAGAAATGCTTCGGGACTTATTTAAGACTAATTACAAACTGGTTGTGTTGGCCCTTCCCAGTCAACGCTGCATATTAGCCCTGAGCTAAACAGTCATGAGTTAACACAATGCTGGAAACACAGAAAACTTGCAGGAGGTTGTTACATATTGTTACATATTACATATGTAACATGTAATATGTAGTTATGTCGGAATGAATGACCTGTGCTTGTCATGTGCCTTTTTTTTAATCCACTTTGTTGCACCATGTGCTCTGCTTTGTAGCTCAACACAAATTTCAACGTAACATGGACATTGAGGTTTTCTATTCAACTCCACATGACAGCTAGTCTGACTAAACAAGAGAGCTCTGTATAGTTTCTACATTTGCAACAAAGAGAAAACAAATCAACACAAAGTTACACTAACACAAAATATAGTTAATATTTAACCATGTCAAAGTGGCTGATGATCAAAGTATTATTATTATATTATTATTATTATTATGAGCACTGTTCTGTTGAACTGTGCTGATTGCAATTAACCACATAGCTGCACTGTTTACTGTATATCATTATAGATCGTATCTTGCAGGTAGTTACTCTATGTTTTCTATGTAAAACCTGATGTGGAGTTAAAGTATGGATGCAGAAAACAAAAATGCTAGTGATTACAAGTACAAGTACTCAGTCACTGTCCAGCTGTTTTAGCTGCAGATGCGTGTCTGCCGATCGTCCTCCCTCCTCCCGTCTCCTCCCCCATACTTCCCCCCGCCTCCACCCACCTCTGTCACCGGAGCCCGTACCTGCCCTCTCCGCTCCTCCTGCCGTACATAAGCTCCACGCATGCGAAGTGACGCTCCCTTTATTTCAGCGTAAGCAGAACAAAGGTAAGCCCAACTCTTGACTTCTTCTCCGGCAACAGTTGTCGCTAAAACCCGGTGGGGGCGGCTCTTCCTGGGTGTAAGTACCCGCTGAGCTCACTCGCGACGTCGGGCAGCGAGGTTTGTCGTCCCCCGCGGTTCGTTGATAACTTGTGCGTAGCGATGTGAAAGAAGTTAGCACGACGCTGTGGCTAACGTTAGCATCCGCGTCGACGCCAATGGGTGTTGGTCGTTTTAAGCTAGCTAGCTAGCTAGCTAACTCGGCTAACGGCAGAGAAAACACGAGGTGGAACCTGAAGCTAGCTGCTCGTGTGGCCCAGCTGCCACGTAACACGGCTGCTTAACAGTGTTTGCTAGCTCTTTAGCCCAAGCGAGCCACCTTTGCTGATATTTCCAGCTAATGTTGTAATGCTGCTAACGTATTAAAGCACACAGGAAGCAGCTCGAGGGGAATCCATTAGTTTTTTTAAATTATTTAAAAAAAAATCTTGTATTAGCATTAGCTTGAAAAGTTGCACTCGGACGGAAGCATGAGATGGTGAAGTTCGAGCTGTCATATCTCTGTTTTTAAGCTCTTACAGCCCGAGCAGCTTCTTCTTCCGATCGGGGGGTGACCACGTAGACACTTCCCCGGGATCCAGTGTCCTTTGCTCGAAGAGGGACAACACATTAGACGAATAAACAACGCTAAGTGCGGTAGTAAAGTGTCGAGTCACCGCTTGCCATTAGCTCAGCTTCAATGTGTCTCTGCTGGAGCGATGAAGCGCCATTCCTTTCCAAAAGATACCCCCCCCCCCCCTTTAGTGTTTTGATGATTCTCGAGTTGTTGATTTAGCACACGGATCCAAAGTCTCCCCTGGTTTGGGATCTGCTGGCCAACTCCACTTCATTTCCTCACTCTTCAAACCATTCAGCGACCTCCTCCATCTTGCATACATTATTTCTTGAATTACTCATTTCACATTTTGTTTCATTACCCATCTGTGTGTGTGTGTATATCTATCTGTTGTGGAGTACAAGCTATGTTCTGCATCTTATTTTATTTTTTTTGTCATATGCTGTTTATGTTCACAGCACAGCCTGTTGACCACCATGGCAGAAGAGGATTTCTGCACCGGACAGTCCGGGGCTTCTCAAACCTACCCCGTGCAGTGTTCTTCCCTGAGGAAAAATGGTCATGTCATGATAAAAAGTCGTCCCTGCAAGATCGTCGAGATGAGTACCTCCAAGACTGGCAAGCATGGGCATGCCAAGGTAAAGCAGCCTGTCATTTGGAATGCAGAGCTAAAGGCATTTTAATGAATTTGTGTTTCCCAGTTTAAGGAGTTTCATACGAAGCTGACTTGGCCCGAGGCTGAACCTTATTATCTGTGGTGTCTTCCCAGATTCACATTGTTGGAATTGACATCTTTACTCAGAAGAAAAATGAAGATATCTGCCCATCTACCCATAACTTAGATGTCCCACATGTTACAAGGACGGAGTATGAGGTAAGAGGTCTATGTCTGAGCTCTTGTTGTAACTGAGGGGCCTCAGGGGGTAAGTGGCATTTGTAACGAATGCAGGGATCTTGTGACCATTTTTAGACCAGTTGGTTCTGGTAGATGGTATTTGTTCTGCTCATCTATGTTGGTTATTTAGACCACTAGTGTATCCACTGACCATATCGTTTTAGATTTTATAAAACTTTACATTGTGGAGAAGGAGTAACATGAGAAGTGCTATCTTGTTAGCCAAATGGGTGTGTCACATGTGTCAGAGCTGAGCTGTGTACTCAGCAGTTGTGAAAGGATGTACAGGTTATAAACTAGTTGAACAGGTTTATTTGTTCCTCCCTGATTTTCGGACCAATATTCTCAAAAAAAACACGCAAGGAAACAGTAGCTTGTATTTTAACATTGTCTTGTTGTAGTACTCAGCTTTTTTTAAGTGGATACCAATTCTGTTAAGTAAACTTTATTGATTTATGTGATCAAATTCTTGTGAATGAAAATTTGAGAACTATTGAGTTCATGGTATGGAGCTTGTATTTACAGCAGCATTGATTGGAATAAAAATTACATAAGATGTTTTCTGACATTAACTGGAATGTCCAGAACATTAGGTCTGGACATTTTGTCTCTTGCATATGAAGTATGCGGCAGTAGATTGTTCAGGTCAGATGTGTTCACAGGAACATTTGGACAAAGGATGGTGTTTGGGTAGAGCATGCATGAGGCAGGACATGATGTATACATTTTCTGCGGAATGTAGTGTTCTTGTTTACAGCACAGCGACAAAGGGCATCAGCCAAATTGTAAAAAAACTCTTAAAATCCAGTGTCTCTCCAAATTGACATCCTTGTGGCTGACTTCTATGTGCAAACCTTTATTCATTCTGAAACATTTGTATTCTCCATGTTTCTCTTGCGTGTTAGAAACATCAAAACACTTACTCGGCCCATTTGGTTTCTCCAGCAAAGTTCGGGAAATGCAGTGTGTCTGAAACCTTTGATCACTGAAGTTTTCTGTTACTACCAGTCTCCCATTATCAAACATTTTTTTATTACAGGTTTTTGAGTATCCATAGTTACTCTCAGGTCTGCCACTTTCAGTTTGGTATTTGTTGTCTTGGTATTTGTCTTAATGTCGAAGTAAATGTTTTAAACGTTTATCATTTCTCTCCCTTTTCTAACGACACATTCAGGTTATTGATATCTCAGAAGGTTACTTGACCCTCATGAATGATAAAGGAGAACCTAGAGAGGATCTTAAAGTTCCAGATGGTGATCTGGGCAAAGAAATCATAGAGAAAAACGAGAAAGGTGAATCATTTCAGGTAAGTTTCTGAAGTGAAAATAAATCTTGATCAAATTGTCTGAATCTGAACAACTGTTAAAAACGTTTTCATAAGTGGTTTATCCATTTCAATTTAGGGTTTTACTATGTTTACTGATATTTACCAAAAATGTCCATTTCTGTCTGTAAAATTGCCTTTATTCATTCATTATTTTGTCTCTGTGGTGGATTACATGTTAATGTTGCACAATATACTTATACTAGAAAGGTATTGCATTAACCACTCGTTACAAAATTATTGATAAGCGCAGTCAGGTGGCTCGCACGCAAATTTGCCGCCACCGATGTTTCCCGGGCGTTATGACGGTCATATTTACTATTTTTGCAATTTCTATTAAAGGCTTAATGTACAAGCATAAATAAACACAAAGTAAGGCAGTTATGCAACTTTATTTATTCAGTACACAATATTCACATTGAGTTCATATTTACAGCATCTGTTCGATGCATAATATTTAGCGTCTCAGTTCAACAATTTGTTCTGCAGAGGAGCTGCTACTGCAGCAAAATGTTTTTACACAGGCTTTGTCTTGAATATGGCCATAAATATGACTTTCCTTGTAAAAGTAGTCCTGTCTACTCAAATAGAGAACAATACTAGACAGTTTGAAGCTGTGCTCCTGCAAATATTTCACGATAAACCCCTCCTACTTTTTCCTTAAATTAACAGATTAATTAAAACACCCTTTGCATTTCTAAACTTCTGTTTATGGTGATTGAAAATACTGGAGTAGTAAAATGAGGTGGGACATCTGGTCTCAGATATTTGTCTTTCCTTCTTTTTCAGGTCGTTGTGTTAGAAGCTATTGGTGAAGAGCATGTCATCTCCTGTAAGAACTTGACTAATAAATAAGTCAAGGACAAAGCTGGAAACCATAGTCTTATCCTCCATTATGGTTTTCAAGCCTCTCCAAAGCTATTGGCCTTCACCCCCTCCACCAGTTTCTCTGCTGGTCAAGTAAAATCCAGATTCCTGGACTGGCTCGGCTTCTTCAGCTGCACCTCTGGCTCGGGACTGCCTGCCACTCTCTACAATCAATGAAGTTTTCCTCCCTTAGCCATCACAGCTTAACTTTGTGGGTATTGATATTATTCCAGGAATTCCTTGCAACATCCCAGTAATTAATAACATTCCTTTTTATAGTATTTGTTATATGCTTTTGTTCCACTGTGTGCATTACTTAAAATCAAATCATTCTTTCATTTTTGAGTTTCCTATAAACAAGTATTTCAAGTCTCCTTTACAATTGAGCTACTGCACCTTGTGTTGAAGTAAAATTTCCCCTTGAGTGATTTTTATTTCTGCTGATATTAAATCTTAAATAAGCTTCAGATTTTTTCTGTTCAACCCCAAAATACAACTTTTTGTATTGTCTTTTTGCCCTCTGACAAGTAACACATGCAGTTACATGCAAATTACAAATTACTTCCGCAGCTTATTTCTGTAAGCGGCATCATTTAATTTACTCTTGTGGGCAAGTTTTCCTCTGCATCTAGCTGCGTCTCAGTAAGACATCCTTTTCTAGCAGGGGACTGTCTCAGCTGACGGGTTTTGGGTGTGGCCATTTTCTCCTCTGCACTTGAAACCTTTTCTTTTCACTTGAGGCCTTTTTATGAGTTGACAATTGTATAGAAGCTGATTTTGAATGAACAAGTCACGGAGGACCTTTACTACTCTAGTCTGAAAACAACTGTCTCGAAGTTAAGTTTCAATAATAACATTATTACAGTGCTAAAGCTATTGACACTTCTGACACAAAATGGTGGAATCAAGAAACTGTTGAGTCTTGATAGCGCAAAATCTAGGTGGTCGATATCTTGCAGTTTATCCGTGTCTTGTGATCGGAGAAATTGAAAGAATGGATGTTAGCATTGAGCTATATCCTGGGCTGCAGGTGTGGTAGTTAGATAGTTGTCAATAAATTTGGGGGTGGTTGCTGTTAATGGGATTTTAAGAGTTTTGTGCTGTCTACTCTCTAAAATGGTTTGCGGCTCACATGGAAGATGATTCTCTAGCTTCACATCCACACAGAATAACATTTCTTGAAACATTGACAATGGCAAGTAGTCATTGTGTTCACATGCAGTGCGATGAAGTTGTTGAACCTGCGTCTACACGCTCGTCTGTTTTCTCCCCTGAAATATAAGTAAATCCAAACAAAGGAATATTTTAGGTGTATTGGCAACATATTTGAAGAACTGCAGAGTGTTAGTTTCGTTTATTTCTCATCACAGTATTTGGACTGAAGAAGGCAGTTTTTCATGAGAGAACCTGATGTCCTCCTGAAATGACTCAGTTTGACCTGCTGCATTCAGTGCAGGTGTAGTTTGACATTCAGTTACAAGGATGAATCATTGAGTTGCATTGTCGTTCGACTGTCTGCACTTCTGTCTCAGCAAAACCCTTTAAGTTTTTGTTCAGGTGATGAACCTGTGACCGATAGCAATTTAGTTAAATGTATGCATGAGGACATCATGAAATCTGATTTCTAGAGCAGAAATTCCTTAATGGAGGGGGGGGGGAATTAGAGAAGTGTTAACATGACAATAATGATATTCCTTAAATGTCTATAACCACACTGTAGTATTGACATTGGAAGGTATTCTGTTTTAGCTTTCAAGTTCTCCTTTGTGCAACGGCAGCCGGTCTGTTTTTGTTCTGACCTCAGTCCACCTCAAGTACTTTTTTTTTTTTACTTCTGTCAAGACACCAAAGGTATCCACTGGGTTTTGTTTTGTGTATTAAGCTGTATGTACATTTCCTCCTCCCTCTGTTCTTGTTCAGCATGTCTGTTGCCACGCGACCATAGTCAAATGTACTTCAGGTACATTTCATGCTTGAGAAGTCATATCTTAAAGCAGGAGAAGTTGTTTGACAAGCGAATGACCACTCTGGATTTGTATCTGTTGGCTAAGTGGGTTTCGTTTTGTGGCAAATAGGTAGATGTGCAAAGATGACTTGAAGTCCTCTACAGCTTCAGGCTACAGGCACATCATCGTTATTATGATTCTCAGGGAGAAGAATGTGTGGGCGGGGGAAAAAAAACAATCTCGATCATATGCAAATTGCAGGAAATGCTGATTATGTGGCAGTAAAAGCTGGATAAAAGTTAAACAAATTTTCGCATTTAGCGATGTATTGAGTTTTACTCTACTTGCTCCTTTAAATGCATGTGATTTTCAAGATGATACTTATATGTTATCAGCTGTGAGGCATAATATTTGCCCACCATCTCTACAGCTGTAATAAAAGACAAGTCTTCCGTAAGCCATATTTTAGCCCTGTTACATTTGTTTATAACCAAGGTCAGATGCAGGAAAATGGACTTGATTCTCACCCACAGTTCTCTCTCTGGACTCTGATATGTAGCACTCAATTCCCACCACACATCTCATTAATGATCCTTTTCCCTTAAAGGCGTCTCCCACACAGAGATGGTTGATAGGACTGACCTCTGATTCCACTTAAGACAATGTTTACACTATAAAGGGAGACAACCCCGACCTTGTTGGCTTCACATGCCAATCTAGGATCCAGGTCTGCAAGGGACACAACTGGGGGAAAAATAGTCTGTGTCATGAGGTCAGATTTTCTCAGGGCTTCAAATTGAGTATTAGGAAATCTGTTACGTTAATGGTGTCAGTAGTGAGGATAATACAATTGTTTTTATCCTTTTTTTAATTTTTTAAATATTAAAAGCCCATATTGTTCTGGTGTTGGAGTTTGTTAAATTTCTTTTTCTCTCCTCTCTGGCACCTGTTGTCAGAGACACTATTCCCTTCACAATTTCACTCTTTCTTTTAACTATTGCTTCATTATTATTGTGAGGAACAGTGGCCTATATCTTTGTTTTCGACTTGTATTCTCTTTGTGTTTGTTGTGTATTCTGAGGAACATGGGTTTATGGTATTTCCCCAGGTTGGTTGTAATGGCTTCTGAGGGGGAAACTGACTTTAAGCCTCTTCTGGACCATAAAGATGCATCTCTTCTCTATTCTAACAAATGTATTGCTGCTGTCTTAATAATCACAACGGTTTTTATTGTGTAGACAAAATAAAGTTACTGGCTACAAGACATTGCCTGTTTTCTCATTTAAAGTGTTTTAGTTTAATGTTTCCCCCTGTGGACAATAGCAGCTGCAATAATTGCAACATTGTTTGCTAAATAAGTCATTGAAGGTTTCTCAGTGCTCATCTGAGAATTAAATGTATGTTTGCACAACACCAGAACATACCAGTAGATGGACAGAAGACAAGACTAAGGGTGAACTTGAGAGCACACCTGTCAAGGCCCAACAGAAACCGAGCAGCAGCACCAATGTGTGTAAAGAATGTGAGTACTTCTGCCACCTCTGCCTGGAACACCCGAGCACAAATGTGAGAATGCTGGTCACTTTAGCTCTGCTTTTAATACAATCATCCCAAGCAAAATGGTTTCCAAACTTCATGATCTGGATTTCAGTGAGCGTACTTGAAGATGAATTAAGGACTTTTTAACAAACCACCCACAGTCAGTCAGACCGGGGTTCCATCCCTCCCCGACCCTGACGCTTGGTACTGCAGGGTTGCGTGCTGGGTTCTTTGCTATACACTCTATATACCTACGACTGCAGACCAACCCACATCACAAACACAATCATCAAGTTTGCAGACGAGACAACGGTGGTTGGGCTGATAAAAAAACAACAAGTCTGCCTACGGGGATGAAATCCAAAAACTGACTGCACGGTGTCAGCCAACAACTTGGCACTTAACCACTCCAAAACAAAAGAACTTCAGGAGGAAGAGACAGGAACCAGCCCCACTGCTTCGGTCCAGAGGGCCACTAGTGCGTCAAAAAGCCGACTAGTAGGGGCTTTGGTGCTGCTAGTGCGGCGCACATCGTTACTAGTAAGGTTGCTGTTGGAACTAGTCGGACAAAAGTGCCACTAGTTGCCAAAAAAGAGTGACTAGTACGAAAAAATGCAGAACTAGTGCGACCACATGTCCAACTAGTGCTGACAAAGAGTGAACCAGTGGAGGGGACTGGTATATGATATCAAGAATATGGAATAAATGCTCAAACGGCTTGCCATAAGCCGCTCTATACAGCAACATAGGCATGGTGGAGAGAGTCAGCGACTCCAAATTCCTGGGAACACACATCTCCCAGGACCTCTCATGGACTGTTAACACCACCTGCCTGGTGGAGGAGGCACAGCAGCAGCTTTACTTTTTAAGGACACACAGAGGAGAGTAAACCTGTCCCAGCAGCTGCTGCTGTCTTTTTACAGATGTTCTGTCGAAGGTATCCTCTCGCACGACATCCTGGTGTGGACACATACAGAGTTCGATGCCAATGTCGGGCCACAAACATAACCCAGGACTCTTCCCGCCCAGGTAACCACCTGTTCACTCTGCTGCCCTCTGGGAGGCGCTACAGGTCTTTTAAGAGCCACACCTACAGATTCCTGAATAGTTTTTATCCATCTGCTCTAAAAGAACTGAATTCACTGTAGAACTGTGAAACGAGCCCGGGTCTGTGCAGTATCATGTAATGTGTTATATCATAGTATCCTGGTGTGAGTGCTACACTAATTTATCTTGTCATCTATGCAATATATTTATGACTGTTTTTTACATGATGAGTTGTTGGTCGAACTTTGATCTTTGTTTTCTTTTAACTGTTTTTATTGCTTTTCTTTATTGTCTCTTTGTACCACTGAGAGGAGTTGCACTTAAGTTTTGCTGTGCAACTGTTCAATGACAATAAACGCTTGAATTTGGATTTGAATTGAGAGCTCGGCCAGGGATGCCATCAGGTCCAGGTGCGAGAAGAGCTGTCGGAGAACTTGAGACACGGCAGCCGTCCTTGGCGCAATCCGAAATTCCTTACATACCTTTAATACCATCCGACATGCTGTTCGTCGTAAACTCTGAGAGGAAAGTATGTGAATGAGCTCATATCCATCACTGATTGCACCGTCTCTGTTTATAATAGGAAGGAAATGCTGAGAAGGTGCATTTTGTGATTTCCATTGTGGTGCCAGGGTAACTTTCCCTTGGAGAAACCTTAGGATTAAACTATATTACTTACAAATACTGTAACATGCTTCCAATTCAGGTTTGTGTTAGTTTATTTCCTGTGTGCGAGTGTGAGCGTGTTTTCTCGTCTGCTTGACTCCATGTATATGACGGATGTCTCTGTGTGTGACAAATTGGTTTAGGGTGTGTTACTGTTTGAATATCTGTTTGTGTAGCCTGCGTGTTTGAGTGTGGATGCATGTGTGTGTCTGTAGAGGGGGCTCTCGGAGTGTCCTTGAAGATCTGTGGATTTATTGAATCCAGATTTTGAAAGAAATGGGGAGAGGGAGCACTTCATATGAGCCTCTGACAGGATTTGGATGACAGTTGGAGGACAGTAGGAGGTGTTTTGTCGTTCTTTCATGTTCTCAATCCCACTGAGAGAGGACCCGTAGGGAAAGATTCTGTGTGTATGTGTGTGTGGGGGGGGATGAAAACATATCCAGCAACCATTTGATGGATTGTTGTCGACAGAAGTGTTCGTGGCTCAGTAGTGTGACTGTAGGAATGGTATATAATCGCCTGAAGGCCGACCCACCTCTTTGGTGTAGATTGAAATAACTACTAGATAGATTGTCTAGAATTTTTCTAGTAGTTATTTCTCAAAAAACTGGCTGCATCTTGTTCTCTCAAGACATGAAAAAAGTAAAGCCAAATCATCTTTATCGCCCCCTGGTGGCCACAAACTCACCTCCACCTTGTTAGTGGATGGGACATGGATAAGGGAAAAGGTCAATGTACACATCGGATACATTTCCCCAAAAAATGATGTTCCTAATTTTAGGTAGTTCTTATAACACTGATGTTCGAGTTCTACGTTTGTTTGGATGTCATTTGTTATTTGATATATGTCCTGATGATATTTGAAACATCATGATTGACAGCTGAGCCTCGCGATTGGTCAAGTGCGTGTGTTAGTGGGACCTCAATAGTGCAGCTCCACTTCAGGATCACTACTGCACACACTCTGGCTCCAAATTATATCAAAAGTGCAAAATGGCGGCACCAAGATATTTTAGCTTCACTTTTGTACAAGAGGAAGTGTCCCTCTTTATACAGGCTACAGTCTACGTTTCAATACAACATGGTGTTACATACAAAATCTAAGCTTTCAACTGTTGTCCAATGTTATGTCCTCCATCATAAAATAATAAAAATCACATTTAGACAAAATGTAAGTTCCTTGTCCAAATGATCACTAACATTTATGAGATAAATTACCTAAATGAGAAATACTTACTTTGAACCAGTTGCTTAGAACCAATTCAGAACAGAAAATGATGTTAGTAGCAGCAATAAGCAACTGGAGACATCATCTCCGCTTTTATTTTGGGATTTTTATGTTTTACTCACAAGTGCAGGCTGTGGTCAAGATCTGCTTAGTGTCAAAATAGGGGCTGGGAAAAGAAGGGATGCTGTGCGAGTCTGTGTGTGTGCGCATGTGTGTGAGAATGTGATTAGGAACAGAAGTGCAGGGGAGTTTCTGTCTTTCGAAGCAGTTACGCTAACAGATGTTTTCATTCGAGAACGGAGCTCAAAGCGTGTACTTTCTATTTCAGCTGACAAACTTCTGCACACTCGTACCCATGGGATGACTTGCATGTCTTTGAAAAAAACTTCCCTGAACAAATTAGTGAATCACAGACAAACAGTGGTGGCTGTTCGTTATTGTAGAGTTTGAGGGAATAAAAGATTGTTGTTTGTGGTTCTTCCCTTCCATTTAATTTCATTGTTTGTATGTTCAGTGGCTGCACCTCACATACTGACAAAACATTGTGGTTTATAGGAACCAGTGCTTGTGAGGAAATATATGAGTTGCAGATCTAGGATTTTTCTTAATCAGGGGCCATAAGAGGTGGCAATTATATGGCCAACATCTGCGCACATCTGTTTGAGTAAGGTGCACATTTAAGTCATTCCTTGTTTACTGTTAGCTCTGTGGCAAAGACACTCATCATTAGAAAAAATTTGAAAATTGATCCATGGTCAAACATTGTGAACTTCAAAAAAACATAGAAAATAAAAATGTGTTAAAAAACGGTCATTTTTCATGTTAGTATTGTCAGTAAGACTACATGACATGACAGGGAAAGTTTTTGAGCAAATCCCATTTCAGCAGAGGCCAATTATGGAAAACAATATACTACAGACATATAACATACTGACACTTCAGTCTTCAGAACTGTGTAATCTAATGTGGATTCTTAGCTTCTGGCCAAAACAAGTCATATACAACAATGTTCAATACACACACGCACTATAATACATTCATTCTGAATGTGGAGCCCCTGTCCCCCTGATTGGCCCCGATGATGTGGATGAATGGTTGAACGTCCAGCCTCTGACAGACCTCTGCTCGAACGCAGAGTTGTTGTTTCTGGCCACCTGCTCCCCCCCCGGCACAGCTTTGAACTTCCTCGTTTACGTCCGACATACAGCGTATGTGTTGATAAGGTTGCGTCCAACATCTGGAGGTTGACTCCAGCAGGAGGTGGAGAGGGGGCGGGTCGTTATTCAAACCAGATGAGGACAACTTCATATAGCAGAGGAATAAAAACATTGCTCTCCATTCTTTATTTAATCAATTTTAGTGTATGACTTTCTTTTAGTAAATTTCGTCTTTTTAAAAACACTTTACCTGCCCAACACTGATTGAATCTCATCTTAAAATGATCCCAAAGAAAAGCAACAAGGCCACGAAGAGACACAAACCCAGATAAACGAGTACAGTTTTCAGTCTCTTTTGTTCAGTCAGTGATATGTATGATTTACTCATTCGAAATAAGTGCTGGTAAGATATGCAGCATTCTACATATTACTACACAAATTGGGCCTTGGTACTACGATGAGAAACTTAAAAGTTCGCCAGGCATCCTCGGAGATGCCATTCTCCCTATTATAAGTTTGTGCACCATCAAAATGACTTTGAAGCTGTTATTTTAAGGTACAAAAACGACCTGGTGTTGCCTTAATAAAGCCTGAATGTGTCAAAAACAGAGCATTTCATTTTTT